CTCCAAGCCCTATCTTAGGTGCTGGTGCTTACTCTTGCTCCCTCAGTTTTCAACTTGACCTGTTCATGCCTTGAAACATACTGCATTTACCTGAAAGAAAGAAGGCCCTGAATTTAAGAGAATCTTTCTCTCCAAAAAAAATCTGCTATTCATCATCATTATCACCAACATAGGCAAAAATGATAGATAGATAGATAGATAGATAGATAGATAGATAGATAGATAGAATCAATAACTACTGATTAATATTAATTGTCTGTAAAAGGTGGCATCTCTTATTTAACATTAATTGATCTCCTCGCATGTATTAACCGTTCTCTGAAACACACCATTCTGACACCCGGAAGTGTGCAAATACAAGTGCACACCAACATTTTCTTTCTTCTTTCCCTCCTCCCTTCCAACAGAAACAGTAAAAAGAAAATATAATGAATGAAAGTATGAGATGGGCAGAAGAAAGGAAAAAGGAAACAAAACATGATGGAAATGTATGAGTGTTCATGCTTTTGAGCAGCAATATCTGCAGCCATGTATTCTTCCCATCCATTTTTAACAACGTTTTCTTTATTCTTAAAACCACGCTCCCTATTCACAGGTAATAATTTGAGGAAAATCCTTTTATTACCTTTTTCTCTGGTAATAAATGGTAGTGTAGGAGCTGTTGGACCATCTAAACTTCAGGCCAAATCTAGTAGTACTCTAAAATTAGAAACTTTCAAACAAAGTTTAACAGAGGGTGAAGACCATCCTTTCTGAAGGCACCATTTTATCTTACGTATTTGGATTGTACAGTTTATAGGTCTTCTTCTGCCTCATGATCAACTCCAGAAGATGATTCAGCATCAATATAGTCTTACGTAAATCTGAAGAAAAGGAGAAATAGATCCGGGTGATAGTCCATGCAAATCAACAAATGGCCTTTTTCAGGGCCAGATATTAAACAACATGGGAATAAAATAGGGCCCTTTGGTGTATAATAGAACAGCTGTTTCAAAGCTGGTATGGCCAGATGTGCTGGGTCTACAATTCCAAGGATTTCCAGCTAGCATGATCAGACCATTCTGCTTCACCATTAATGTCCCGTGACTAGGTGGCAATGACAAAGCAATCGGCCTGATTGAAATTTCTCTATAGGTATGTTATTAACCAACTGTTAGGATACCCCTGGAATAATAAACCCAACTCTACTTTTGTTGACACGATATTTTTATAAATGCATTTGACTGCTTGGATGATATTTCTTTGGAGGAGAAACTAATAGTAACTATCAAGAACTATTGCAAGATGCCTCACTATGCTCCCCAATACAGTAAAGTTTCCTCTGCACTGAGTTTATATTGTGTCACAGATCCAGTAGAGGTTGCTCATGGACACTTTTTAAATTTCTTGGTTTTCTGTAAGGTGACCTAATTGTAGTTTAAATAACTTTGGATAATTCAAATGCGCTGTAAAATGTTATTTTTTTTTAATTCTTTAACAAGTTTCCAATTGAATAATCTAAGCTTGTGGTTAGGAAACTTTGTATAGCTTTTAGTGCAGTAAAAAGGCCTACTAAGCTTTCAGGATATAAAGTCGAGTGCTTCATGTTTAGTAAACAGTTGCCTCTGTGATTTATTGCAATGAGCTGGCTTAATCGTCTGTGCTGCAATACCACAGCCATTTCCTGAACAGTCCTGACAATATACGATTGCAGCAGAAATACACATGCATGGTTGTGAGAGGGGAGCAGAGAACCTGTTTCTGTCCAGATGTCTTGGGACTATTAACTCCCACAATTCCCAACCAGAATCCTGGGAGTTATAGTCCAAGCACATATGGACAGGATCAGGTTGGGGGGAAATGTTGTAAAACCTTTCAGCATTCTTTATTTATTTCTGACATTTTTATGCCACTCCCCTCCAAATGGCTCTAAGCAGCATACAGCAGAAAGAAGGATTAGAAATAACTGGACAAACAGAAAACAGTATAAATCCTAGTTATGCTGCGGCTTGTGACAAAGAGTTGTGTTATAAATGCAAATAATGGTAAACGTCATGGAACCTTTCAGATTCAGCAAGCTAGTAACGTAATTCCTCTGCGTTGATAACGTAACACTTGATCATATTATAAAAACAGCAGAACCACGTTGAGGTGACAACCCCATGGGAAGAATAATGGATGCCTTGGTTACAACAGAAAGAGGATTTGGGGCTTCATTAGTAGCACTGCTAGGACTCACAATGGGGTTATTTTTCTGGGTCTACAAGGAGATGCTGGACCAAAGTGCTTCACTTGTATCTGAATACATTTGGCAGAAATGTTTAAGAGTACTATAACATGTGAAAGGAAGTTGCAGTTTTTCATAAAATCAAGGATGCAAAAAAATGTCAAATGCATTTGCTGAGCTCTAAATTCACAGCATAGAACTGATTTGAAAAGATGAATGCCCTGTTTCCATTGTTCCAGAATGATGTCCACCAGCAGGGAAATATCCACTTTAGCCTCTGGAGAGCCTGAATTTAGACCTCAGGAACTCAGACTACAATGCCAGAAGGGGCTTGGGCATGTTCTGCTGTTCTTCCTAAGAAGGAAGGAACACTATGTTCTACAGTATTACTTTGGATGTGTTTATTCTTGCTAGAACCCCTTCTGGTTTACTGAATCCAGAAAAACATGCAATATGGAGTTTTTAACATACAAGGTCACACCGTCCATATATGTGTGTGTGTGTATATTATATATATACATACACATACATACACACACGTATAGACACAATACATATACATGCCTATATATATCCTTGTATATAAAAATCATATCGTTATTAAATTATTTCACGTATCTGGCTATGCTTCAGCACCTTGCAGGTCTTATTTTTATTTGTTGTTTGCAAAAGGAGAGCACAATATAATGTTTGTGCTATAGCTAATCATTTCTGTCCCTTGGGCAATGTCTTAAATGATTTGCTCTTCACTTTGTTTAGTCAGAACTAACTTAAGATGAGCCACCTATTTCTGGCTCCTTTCCATCCTATTACTGAGGGAATGTACTTTACTGTATTACGGTGCACGGTGTACTTATGGACTTAAAATGAGAAGTTGCATGGATTGTCCCTTTGCCTGGACTATTGTCCTTGCTGAACATCTGGGAAAAAGAGTATCTTTGTTGAAAACATGTTCTGTTATCCCAAATCACTGCAGTTTTAATAGCTATGAATACATTGCAGGGCATCTGAAGTCCTTTTTGTGCCCTTTTTCTGCTGTGTTAGGGGCATATGTATCCTGGTAGAGAATTGGCAGGGTCCCCCCCCCCCACTTCTTTTCACTGAGAACAAATGGCCTTGTTCATCTTTTCAGGTCTGGAATTCCCCAGATGTGTTCATCTGTGTTGGCAGGGAAGGATGAAAGCTCTCATCCAGTGCATCTGGAGAAACCAGGGTTTGAGAAGCTGGTTAATGTTGTGCCTAAAGTTTGGCTGGTGTTCTTAGCTGCAGTTCTCCCATTTGCTTGTCTTCATTGTTGTTTGTGCGTTTCATAGCATCTCCATACAAATTTTTCTTTAGGTCTCAGTCTTGGGTAACATTATCTTTTTTGTATTTGAGATGTTGTAAGTTTAAGTGCTGAAGCTTTTAGTGGGAAAGTGAGCACTGCGTGCATAAATGCTGGCAAAATGAGGCCAGCTTGCGGACACAAGGGCTGCATTTGCTAATTAGGTAACTATTTAGCAACTTTCAAGGCGGGATTGAAAATGAACAAAAAAATAACTATGAACCTCCGCATAAAAATACAATCAATTTTGAACAATCTTATGAATATGGTGAATAGAATCCAATAACCTTAATTTTATCTGTTTGGAGATTTATGGAAGGTTCATGCAAGTAATAAAACATACTTAAGACAGATGTTACTGTTTCTATCATTTTGTGTAATGGGATTTATTTTGTTCTTGGCTATGACTACACTAGATTAGGTTTTATTTATTACTATCTGTTGGCTTAAAATTTGTGGATCACAAGCATGTCAGCCTTAATTTTAAAATGTTTTACTACATTTTAACTGATTGAGATTCAACCCCACGTAGCTATAGAGAGTAAATGCTGCCTTATATTTCAGATGGTCTTAAGCCAATGTATTTAATCGACCACACTCTTGTTCCTGGGCGTGAATGTTGATCAGAATATGGTCTTATTGACTTCTTACACAATAACTTTTGAGGGAAAACCTTAGGAGACATATGTATGTGATCCTTTATTCCGGGTCCCTCTACAGCAGGGTTCCTCAACCTTGGTGACTTGAAGATGTGTGGACTCATCTCGTGGACCAATGTGGGGAATTCTGGGAGTTGAAGTCCACACATCTTCAAGTCACCAAGGTTGAGGAACCCTGCTGTAGAGGGACCCGGAATAAAGGATCCTATACTTTTATATGCACACACACACACACATTAATCAAAATAATAATTTTTAAAAATTGTCTATCCTTTATTCCGGGTCCCTCTACAGCAGGGTTCCTCAACCTTGGTGACTTGAAGATGTGTGGACTTCAACTCCCAGAATTCCCCACATTGGTCCACACCATTGGTCCAACAATTCCCCACATTGGTCCACAAGATGAGTCCACACATCTTCAAGTCACCAAGGTTGAGGAACCCTGCTCTACAGTGATAGAGTTTGGAATCATCTTTCTGCTTTGCTTGTGTCCTATTTTTTTGCCCATCACTTAATCATTCATTCATTTAGGAAACATCTATACTTTTATATGCACACACACACACACATTAATCAAAATAATAATTTTTAAAAATTGTCTGTGCTCATATACACAAAGAGATGGTATTTATCCAAAGTCTAGCCATGTCAAAGAAAAAAGAGTTTCCTAATATTTCTTTATTCCCCCTGTAGACTGCATCAGCCATATGGAGCAAATAGTACCTAACATACGCTGTGAGGTCAGGCATGGTACCAGCAAGGGCTTTATATGGGTTTTATAGGGTTTTCAAGAATTATATGAGAACATAGGACACTACAAGGCAAGCGCTGTACATCTAACATTGCATCAATTTCTCAGTTTTCTGTAACTGGAATATTAATAACAAGGGATATATGTTGTTGTAGATTAATGTCAGATTCTGCTATAACTGGCAAATATTCTTATATTAGTCTTGCAGTGGTAATCTGGAAAGTTTATTCCATTAATTATCAATAAATCTTAAATAAGTATTTGTTGACCCATTTTCATTGGCAGAATATTTATATTGAATTGGCAAGGTACATATTAATAGAATATTGTCTACTTCACACATTGCTCTAATTAAGATTTGTTTGATTTTGGCTTAGCATATTGTGTGAATCTAGCCTTTGCAGTTTTTGAGCCACAATTTATGGTCTTGTGTGATATATGAATTCAGCCAATGGAGGTTTTTTTCAACTAACGAAGGGTAAGAAGATTAGTTCCTTCTAATTAAGTGTTCATGGTTTTCCTGTTTGCTGAGTAAAAGATGATTATTTTACTGCTCCTTATAATTGATGATGTCTTTCTTGTACCACAGTTTAGTTTCATGCTCAATCTCTGACTTAAGTTTGCTTTTGTTTCCCAGATGGTATCCCAGCTTGAAGCCCAGATAAGTAAACTTACCGAGACCCTGGAGACTCAGGCAGTATTGCACCAGGAGGCCTTACAAAGGGCCAAAAAAGCAGAAAATAAATTGGAGATGCTTCATGATCAGTTGATGCGTCTAGAAGGAGAGCTGGTGTCTGGAGATGTGATGCGAGATGTTTGGAAACTTGAGAAACAACAAGTAATATCTTATGTTTGTAGGAAGGGTACAAGGCAAGGTAGAGAAAAAAATTTAATGATGTAGTCCTGAATTTACCAGAAGTAAATGTATGGTCTGTTTACATTGGTACATTCATATTCGTATAAGCAAAATTGTTGGAGAAATCATTCCTCAGTATGTTCAGGGTGGTGATTTGATCGTAAACACATGTACATATACATTCAGGGTTCTTGGACTGTATCATACAGTACTACAAGGCTGAGGTCTTAGGCAGTGTGGTAAGCAACAAGCAGTGATAATATCTAATAAAGAGAAAATGTGTTGGTGTTTTGGATCTTGTGGAGATACATTACTAAGAGATTTTTGACTGCTGGTTTTGGACCTCAAGAGGCAGTCTGTTTTGGGATTAGTATTCCTTGTAAATTTTCCTGGAAGTTGCCTGCACCATAGAGAACATAGAAGGGAACTTAATATATTTAAAATGAAAATAAAATGTTACTGAGAAATCAGCTGTTTACTAGATAGAGAAGAACAGAATCAAAACTAGTTCTCATTCAGCTAATTATATTATTGAAGTTTAAAAGAAATCCCATGGGTTTCATAGGACTCTTGCAAAAGAAAATGTTTTAACTCTGTTCAATTAGTTTTTTACTATTTTAGTTATTTTCCCCTATCAATGAGGGCTTGTTTGTCTAACTTCAGCATAAAAACTATCACAACCCTTGAATATAATGTCCAGATTTTCTTGATTCTGTTCCCTGCCATTTTCTTCTTTTGTTTTACAGTGATCAAAGCTGGTCATAATGATCATAGTGACACCGATTACAACCAGATTTTGGATGCACAAATGTCCTTGGAGGCAAATAAAGCCCACTAAAAGTGAAGCAATTGCTTCATTGCTTACTTTGTTGAATGATCCTTGCCAATGAAGGATCAGCTGAATGGGTTGATAAAAATGCATGGATCAAAGAGTTTTACTGTAGCAAAAAAGCTTATAATAGTTTGCCTCTTTTGTCTCAAACCGTATTATTTATGTATTTGAATGTCTTCTTAATGAAGCACAACGAATGCAGATTTTTCTGTCCTTCTAATGGAAGAACACTGTGGTAGGTTAGATAGAAATGTGCCTGTCTGCAAAAGTTTCATGATGTAGCTCCTGGTACAGATGGCAAAAGGCATTTCTCTTGCCCATCAGAGAAACCCTTGGAAACATTAGTCTCTCCAGTAGGCACTGGCTCAGTGAAAAATCTCTCTGGGAGGCCCAGTGTCTCATCCCCTTCCCTCGGATACCACAGTGCCAGCAACAGACAAGACAGCTGTAAAAATTGCATCAAGCCACAGTCTTCCATCCTGTGAATATTATGGACCTGAGGAAGCTTAAAGATTAGAACACACGCACACTTCACAAGCTGTATCATACTGCGTATACATAACTCTATGAAGAGTTATGTTTATGTGTCCTTTAGAAAACAGTAGTTCTTTTACTGTTTTCCAGTTATTTGCTGAGAGAGAATGGAAGAACTCTAGAGATACAACCATGGTACCATTGAGAACACAAGAGTCTTGTGGCATCTTAAAGGTTTTTTAAAAAGTCGTGCCTCTTTCATCAAGCTTAATTTCTGTTGACTTCATGGAGATGTCCACTCAGTTTTCTTGACTGAGATAGATAATCCATAAGTGCTTGGTATTACCTTCTGAGATGTTTTTGGATTTCACAGTCTAGATTACATCCCTGGAAGTCTCCCATCCAACTACTAACCAAGTCCAAGTTTGCTCAGCTATTCAGAATCAGCCAAATTCAGCTTAAAAGTTAGAACATTTAGTTAGGTAGTGGGGAGGTTGCTTCTGGGGTTCAACAAGCTGCATTGTTTTGAGCAGTGCTTGCTTGCTTATTGATTGTGCCTGTCCTCTGAAATGAGGCTGCCCCCAAGATCTGGATGGTCCCCACCCTGCTGGTGCTTTGATGAGCCTTGAAGACCTGGTTTTTGGTCCAGGCTTTTGGGGGCAATGACTGAAGCCCCCTTTGGGTTGTATGGGTTTGTTTCTCTTTTGTGCCTGTCTAGTTTTGTCATCTTCACCATCTTTTACTCCTTTAGTTTTGCCTTTTTTCTTGCTTTTAATGTTTTTTACTTATTGACCACCAAGAGTTGTTAGGAGTCAGGATGTACATCAATCTAATCAATCAACCAACCAACCAATAAATAAATAAATATGTTGCAAAACTTTGCATGCTGTAAGAATAGCCCTGCTGATCAGATCGAGGCCCATCCTAGTCCAGCAATTTGTTTCCAACCCAGTACTTCTTAAGTCCCTAGGAGCAGGAGATAAAAACGTCTCCCTTTCTTGCCATTGTTCCCCTGCAGTTGTTATTGAGAGACACGCTGTCCCCCCAATACTTTTGAATTTTTAAAACTAATAGCTGTTCACAAACCTGAATTTATCCATTTCCTTTTTAAAGTCATCTGAGTTAAGGGCAATCATCATGTCCTAGGGAAAGAAATTCCATAAATTAATTATGCCCTGTGGGAAAACCATTTTTCTTTTGTCTGTTCTAAATCTCCTCCCCCTAAATCAACAGATGACCCTTAGTCCTAATTTTTTGAGAGGGGGAAAAAGTTCATTTTAAACATTTCAATTATGTCCCTTCTTGGTTACCTTTTTTCAAAGCTGAAGAGTCCCAAATGTTTGAACTTTTTCCCATAGGGAATGTATTTAAGAATCATGTTGTTTGAATTGGGCAGCCCTATAAATTCAATAAATAATAAACTCCTGTGGTCATTTTGGTTGCCTTTTATACTTTTTTACAATACTATTAGATATTTTTTAAAGGTGGCATCAAAAACAGTATGCAGTATTCCAAATATGGACGTAGCATCAGTTTTTATAATGGCATTGCAATATTGGCAATTTTATTTTCAGTCTCTTTCTTAATGATCCCTAGTACAGTATTATTGTTATTATTTAATTTATAGTCCTAGACCAAACCAACAAACATTAAAACATAAGCAGATGTATGTATGAAAACAAAAACAATCAAAGCTGTCAAGAAAGCGCCAGTGAATTTCTATAAGTTAAAGCTATAGATAAAAATGTTGCCATTGCTCTTGAAACATGTGAGGATAATCTGGCTGTGACATCTGTTACTCCATAGATCTCCAGGGTTGATTTCAGCTAATCTGGATTGCTAGGCAATTATCGTCTTCCTTCCTCATCACTCCCTGTATGTCCCTCCCAAAGCTAGTGCTTGGCAGAAGAAGATGATCATCCCCTACCGCAATAGTTGACTTTTTCAAATGGAGTAGATATCTTTGATGAATGATCTCTTGTGATCCTCAACTGTCCCAAGATCTGCTCCCTGATTAGTTACAGATAGCTCATGCTCCCATCAGTATAGGATTTTTTGCCCCAGTATGGGTGGCTTTATATTTATTTGGCTGGTTATTTTGTATACTGCCATAATCCTTAAAGTTTCCAAGCAGTTAACAGCACAAAAATGTAGAAATAAACAATACAACAGTATACAAAAACAAAATCACCTGAATAGTCAGAAAACAAATGGAGAACGCCAAATGCTCTTCAGAAAAGCTCTGTTCCAGTTTCTGGAAAGCTTGAAGGGTAGGTGTTGGCTTAACCCAGTGTTTTTCAACCTTGGCAACTTCAAGATGTGTGGACTTCAACTCCCAGAATTCCCTAGCCAGCCATGTTGAGAATTCTGGGAGTTGAAGTCCACACATCTTAAAGTTGCCAAGGTTGAGAAATACTGGCTTAGCCACTGGAGGGAGACTATTCCACAAAATAGAGCCTATCACTGAGGTATACAGTTTCTTGGCCCCAGCCCTCCTCTCCCCACTTCAGGACAGTGAAGAATCAGCAGCAGCTTCTCTTGAGATACATGTACTGGATGGTCGGTTATGGCGGGAGAAAGTAGTTTGAAGGTACTAGAAGCCAAGCCAGAAAGGGCTTTATGTGTTAAAACTAGCACTTTGAATTGCACTCAGAAACCTCCTGGAAGCCAAAGGAAGGTCCAGTGTGATTTTTAGGGAATCACAATAATGCAAATTTGGAAAACCCCTGTGTTGTGATATCTTTGTTCAGCACTTTGCAAAAACACAATCTCTTGCAATATGACATAGCCTGGATGCTGTAGTTAATGCAGGTTGATTATTGGTGTTCTCTGATGGGCTGCCTGCTCCAGTTTTATTAGTTAGCTTTCCCTGTCAAAGCCTGAAGACATGGACAACCATGAGACTGAGAGAATGAGGGTGGAGAGGAAAGAGAATCCTTCTGGATCCAGCCTATTGTAATTTAAAAAGAAACAAACAAACTTACATGTGTTGGTTTCTTCAGCCTTGGCCATAAAAGTCTTTTAGAAAGCATAAAGCTTTGTTGTACACTGCCCGGAGTTGCCTGTGGTGAGATGGGCGCCTATATAAATTGGTTTAATAATTAAATAAATAAATAAATAAATAAATTAGTCAAAATATTTTTCACATGTTAGGTTACATACAACACTATTGTGCCCTATTAGATTATTTGCAAATGTCTGAAAATACATCGCCAAACCTAGTTAATAGTAAAAAGCAGCATGGCAAGAAAACACATGCAATAAATATGTTACATTTAGACATGAATAAATCTTTATTTCTGTTAAAGCAGTTGTAAGAGGCTAAGAATGCAAGCTTTGTTTTGAGCGTGCTGGATGCCTTTCTCCCCATCTTTTGTTTCTGAAGTATCTTAAGTTTTTGGATCAGCTCTCTGAAAAGATGAACCTGGACAGCATAGCAGAGGAGGTTGGATTTGACATGAGGTTGGATGCAGTGCTGGCTCGTGCAGAACAGTTGATCAAATTGGAAAGAGACACATTGACTGACAATAAGATCATGGCCCGAAACCTGCAGAGGAAGGTAGGAAAAATATCAAAACAGTAGAAGTGTTAGTGTTTGGTTCATTTTTCACAGCAGCATAATATCAAACTAGGGCTGGGGTAGTATTAATTTAAGTCTCACCCAAATCCCATCACAGTAAGAAGAGAGGGAGAAGAGAGATGTTGCACTGTTCCTTGGAGGAAGAATGGAAAAAAAGTGTAATGAATAAATCAATATTTACTATCACAGGTGTTATGTTTTTATTTGGAAATGTAGGTAAAAGCTCAGAAAGAGCAACTTGAGAACAAAGAGCTGCACATGAAACTTTTGCGTCAGAAGATCATCCAGCTGGAAGAGGAGAAGCAAGTGCGTACAGCCCTGGCTGTAGAAAGAGATGAGGCCAACCTCACACTCAGAAAGTTACAAAAGAAAATAGACCGATTGCAGAACGAACTTTCTTTGGCAAGAGAAACAAATACAGATCTGAAAGTTAAACTTGCTGACACAAATGAACTGAAGGTGGGTAATAAAGCTAATAGCATGTTTAAAACCGTATTCAGAAAGGGTATGAATAAAAGTGGATGGATTTGCATTTAAGTACATACATCTAGGTCTAACCTGTCCATACTAACTGCTCAGCAGTAGAAAGCAATTTTGAAATGGTTAGCAATGTGTGTTCTTCAAGATCACCCGTACTTGACCCAACTTCAAATGTGCACCACCCCCTCCTGCAAGTGAGCATTATTTGGGTAGATGAGGCTCAGGGAAAAGCTAAATGCTTCTTGGCATCTTATATGATTTTCCCTTTACACTTCCATGTTTTGGCCTTTGGAATTTGTGTTCAGATCAGAGCACTGGAGCAGGACAAAACCATAGAAGAATTAAGCAAGTCCCAAGAGAAACTGGAAAAGATGAAGACAAAAGCTGAGAAGCAGTTAACCTCTGTCAAATCAGAGTTACATGTCAGAGAGCATGAAGCAAAGGAAGATAAAGAGAAGGCTAAACATTTGCTGGAGTCTGTGACTACAGAAGCAACAGCACTTAAATCAACTCTTGAGGAAGTCATGAAAAGAGAGAAACAGGTATGTGCCAAGGTGACTGATAAGAGGTACATGATATTTGCTACCTTTATCCATTCATCGGTCTATATGACTGCCCACTCACAGTGCAGCTAACGGTCTATTAAAAGGAATCATAAATAATCTAGAACAATTAAAACAATGCCTTGTATTCTGGGTGATTCATATACCACCCAATCATATCCCTGAAAATAGGCTCACCAAGCTTCCTGGTCCATTACTTGAGGGGAGAACCAGCTCCTCAATGCCCTATGCAAGAATGGCAGGGTTGGGGCCATCTGAATCTTGGTGGGCAGCTGTTCCATAAGGCAGAGTCTGTTTGATAGGAAGGATTCAGAGTATGCCCATCCTGACAGGGATAGGCAGAAATAACTGGAGACAGGTAGTCCTCAAATAACATGGCTCTGTGCCATGAAGGGCTTTATGGGTAATAGCCGACACCTTGAATTGCACCCAGAAACCCACTGGGAGCCAGTGCAGCTCACAAATACGTATGCCATAGGAATTGGTGTTACTATGCCATGGGGCATAACTATCCACCACACTGCATTCTGGACCAGCTGTAGCTTCGAAGTGGTTTTCAGGGGCAGCCCCGTGTACAGCACGTTGTAGTAATTCCGATGAGAAGTGCATCAACCTGGGATTTGAAGCAATTTTATAAGTTCTCTTTCAGTTGAAAAGAGCAAGAAAGAGGATACAGGAGGTAGGAAACAGGAACCTCATTTAATCGTTACAAATGAGAATATGTAGCTGCAGTTACCTGGGGAATGAGTGAGGCTATAGGTATAATTGCCTTAAAAAGAATATGAACCTTTGCATTACCAAAAGCATTAGTGCAGCCCAGAGGATTTGTTGGTATGCCAGAAGCTTAAAGGAATTTGCAGTGGAACCACTGTAGTTGCTAGAAAATTTTAAAGGGCTTCATGGGACTTTTCCTGAAGCTGGGACTCTCCAATTATAGAATGGCAACTGTAAAGGTATCGCAGAGAGTTGTGAATGGTTTTTGAGCTTGTTCATAGTTTCAAGATGTTTAATTAAGACACAGCAATAAAATGTTGCAGTCCAGTGGCCTTTTGCACTTCTGATTCATCACCATGTCATCAGCTCCAATTATTCTGAGTTAACTTTGTGCTGTAGAGCCAGCTGTGGTTTATTATTTGGAGACTTGTGCAGATGTGTATTATTGATAACAGCTGCATGAGAGAAGTTCTTTGGCAAGGGGTCACTGGTGTACACTTCTTCCCCCTCTGTTGTATGTTCTCAGAGTATATTGGGAAAGTCTTGCTTATTTAAGGCAAAAAACTAGGGAGTTGACAGTGTTTTTCCCTTAAATCCCTTACTTTCCCATCATTGTATTTCTGCACAATCTAATCTAGGGCCAATATGTTTTTTAAATTTCACCTTAAAAGGCCACATAGTTTCAGTTGCCTCTAGGAAAGGAGAGCTCCAAGGATCCATGGTAGGTGTCTTCATTACACTTTCCCAAGAGAGATGGTTCCTGGGAATGATACAAATAATCAGATGAGACCTTTGAGCCACAAATGCCCACTCATGGAATGGAGGGGTCTGATAATCTGTGTGAATATAACTTACATTTATAGGTAGTGTTTTTACTTCATAATACCAAAAAATGAACTTATTTTTCAAAACTTGTCTTATTTTCAAAAAGAAGAATATTGCAATCTGTTACATCAAATGCCATCTATTTTAATAGCACAAGACTAAAGAACAAGCAATAATTGTAAGCATTTGGCATGTGACCTTTCAAACACACTGAACCACAAACAAAGGTCTGAGCATATTTTGACATTAATTCAGATCATGCAGTGAGGTGTGTAATATTTAATGTGTGACTGCAATATAAATTATACAGAATTTTAACTTTCCCCCTCTATTTTGATTTTAAAAATCACAGTATGCTCCAATTTTATATATTTGGCACAAAACAAGTACTTTCAGCTTTCTTTCTGTACTGATAAGTAGATTGATCTAAACTGAACATTTATCCATTCATCTGCCTGATACCTCTCTAGCCTAGTTTTAATGAGGGTGTTAAATCTAAGCCTGGGCAGCATACTTCAGACAGAAGTATAATGTGTTTCTCTTGGGGGACATTCTTCTATATTTTGTTACGAAGTGTCAGGGAGAAGGGTTCCGAAGTATTTACTGATTGATTTCTGAATTTATATTATAAGCCGCTCATTGGCTTATATAACTGAAAACCAACACTGAAGTACAAAATATAATCACTGAAAGATTTCAGCAACATTAACACTTGGTTATTATTATTTTTATTCTCTTGGGTAGCTATTTTGAGAAAATCATTTCTTTTTACAAGTGAGTAAATATATATATGAGCCAGTTAGATGTAGTGGTTAAGGCACCAGGCTAGAATCCAGGAGACCAGGAGTTCTACTCCCACCTTAAGACATGAAGCCAGCTGGGTGACCTGGGGCCAGTCACTCTCTCTCAGCCCTAGGAAGAAGGAGGCAAGGGCAAACGACTTCTGAAAAACCTTGCCAAGAAAACTGCAGGGACTAGTTAGGGCAGTTGCCAGGAATCAACACTGACTCGAAGGCACAAAAATAAACAAACATCAACCTTATTGCTGTGAAACTCAGAGACCAATGATAACATGAGCAATGACTTAAGATTTTTACAGAGATTTTCATAAATGCTTGATTTCAAGTGCAGTAATGATTGAATGTATTATGTAGGTGTCATGTTTTTCTTACGGTAGGACCTGTATTACAGGGATGTTGTGTTTTGCAACCGTCAGCCCACATGGGATTTCCTTTACCAGATAAAACAACCATTTGTAGTTGCAAGCATTGCACTGAATTACATGAGTATCATGCATATGAACTGCAGAATATCTGAATTGCTAACTGTGATGGAACAATATGCTTTTACCAGTATTGTTATATTCTGACATTTTTGTTTTGTAGGCATGCGACAAAACAGGTCACTGTTAAAATACTTTTTATTGATATCATTTAATAAGCAGCCAAGCAGTGCAATATATATTTTCCCCTCCAGTGCTTAATTGTATGCCTCCATAGCTTGATAAAATGCTGTAGAAGTGGGCCTCATCATCCTAATGAGGAAAGCAGCAGTGGAAACTTTGCAGCTTTTGTACATGCACGTGAGGTCATGGCACACTTACAAAAGAGGCAGAGCTTACCATGTGAAGTTTTTTTTTCATCATTTGCTAACTTTTACAGACATCCTACCTCCTGGCTTGCTTGCTTATTTTTTTATTTAATTCATCATTCTTGCCAACAATCTTCAGCCATGTTGGCTGAGAAATTATGTAAGTTAAAGGTCAGCATATCTGAGGAGCATCTCTGTGAGGAAGGCTGCCCTAGTATTCTGTTTTTGATGCTAGATTTGAGTTCAGACCTAAGGAAGGCATTCCAGCCAGCCCAGAATAAATAACTGTCGCTTGTAAGTTACAAATAGGCTCTAACTGCAGTTATTCTGAAATGTGTAATGCAGAATTGAGTATAGCACAGACTACTTTTGAGGGTAGGAGGAAGCCATGAAGATACACTTGAGTCATTGTACAATTTTCAAGTTGACTTTGCCATATTAATATACAACAGACTTAAAATAATAAAAAACAAAGCCTTTATCCCTTTTTTCAGTGGTCCTGAGCTATAACAGAAGTAAAGCTTTAAAACACCTTCTCTTCATGGATTATCTTTTTTGCTATCAGCAGCTTCCTTTGTTGTGGTTTATTAAACTTGCCAAAAGTTTATTCTCATACTTAAGTTGCTATTCATTATTTTTATGGAAGATCCACTTCATTCCCAGAGCCATCTGACTTTTGCAGGTTGACTTACCACTAGAATAAAAATTACCATAGCAGCTTTCTCCAACCTGGAGTACTCCAGATGTGGATTCCATAATACCCAGTCTGAATGTTAATTGGGAAACAGAATGTTGGCTGGGGCATTAGAGAATGGGTTGCACAACATCTTCAGAGGGCACAGGGTTGGGGAAGATTGTGCCACTGAATTACAATATATACCAGGGTCTGAAAAGGCTTCACTAGTCAGTCTTCAGTTCCTGTAACTTGGAGAATTCTCAGGTCTAAGAAGTCTGGGAAACAAACAAAATAATTATGTTTGCTCCATAGTGAGAACAATGTAGTTACAGATTGGTGACATCACTGAAAAGGCTCATCCCCTAGCTACTACTGACCTCTTTTCAGATAGTAGGGATATCTAGAGGAGTTTCAGGTGTAGATTTCAGTGAACCACCATATTTGTTTGGGAGAAGACATTCCATATAGTTTACTGTACCTGTTTTCCTTTGCTCTCACAGCTGGCAGACTTCCGAACAGTCATCTCTCGCATGCTGGGTCTCAATATTGCCACTGTGGCGCTTCCTGACTATGAAATAGTAACTCATCTTGAGGGGTTGATCCATTCTCATCAGCATCATTGCTCTCCCTGTGTCTGCTTCAAATGTCAGTGAAGGAAGATGGACTCTTGCAGCTTCTCCACTGGGTGCCTCCTTTCTTTCCACATATAGTAGTTAAAGCAGCAAAAGTCCAGTGTGATGCTCCATAAGTTAGCATTTTGTTGGAATTAAAATATTGCCTACTATGAGGAAAAAGAAAATTAAGTATTAGTACTCATGAAGTATCTTAATAAACAATATGGGTATAATTGGGTGAAAAGCTTATGCACTCAGCATTAAACATGAAACAAAATTCTCATAATTATCAAAGAGTGGAAGCTCTACTCATAGAAGTCACTTGAGCCTAATATTGAGCAGTGGCTCTCTCTGCCCCATAAACCATCCCTGAGAGTGGACGGGCAAAAGGAGGAAAATCTCCTGTGAGCAGATTTTTCCAGTAATACTTCTTAGGATCCAAGCTCATGTGTCAGTGTTTTGCAAAGCAAGAGATATGATTATTCCACAAGTAATTGTCAAGTGATTGACAAATTATAGAACAGATGTACCTGTGTCTGCAGGTTGTCCATATGTAAAATATGTCTGTTTTGAGTCTGTGACATGTATAAGAACTTCTCAAGAACATCAGTCCATTTTAATACGTTGACAATAGTTGGTTTAAATATGACAAGAGTTCCTTAAAATTGCATTCAATTTTAACATGTTAAAGAATTGCTAAAATCTCAAGAAGAGTATGGAGCTAGAACATTTCATTTGGAAATTTCAGTACTTAGACTAAATGGAAGAAATATTACATTGGCACAAATTAAATAGATAAAATTAACATCTTGGACAGCTAAAATTAAAATACCAACTGATTTGAAATTTAAAACATGAGTTTTGGTTGCAGTCCCATGGTCCATGAAAGACTTTCCAAGGGGTCATCAGATTTCTTGAACCTTAGCTTCTAAGATTGGAAAAATGTTCATTTTTAAGGAGAAACCTCATACCCCAAGCTTCATATGTGAAATAATAGCATCCATATTCTGTATTTCTCCAGTGTCAGGATTTGCCAAAATAGGCTGTGAATAAGTAGTACTCATAGCCATTCTGTGCTCTAACATGATCCAGAATTAGGGAGAATTATGTTAGTCCTTGAAATTAACATAGTTCGTTTCTCTCTTATTGGCAACAGTAGAAAGAAAGTTAAGACAAAGAAAATTCAGCACAGGAAGGGAAAAATAGAAAATGGTGCCATCTCTTCCTTGCTGAAGCTCAGATACATAGATACTTTGAATTTCTAGTACTGTAATCTTCCAAATTAGCAAAGACTTAGTAAGATTAGAGGATCAGATATTTAGAAGTGACCATCCATTCATCACAGGTCAGCACCCATAACTCAGCATCAGGCAGGGATTTAGAAGATCACAGATTCAATCCTGCTTTGCTAATTTGAGAGATCTGGAATTTGTTATTCTGAACTAAATCCCTTTTAGTAATTTAAATAGATGCTTTGAAAAAGTCTACCTAGATCAAGTCTCTTCTAGTATTTTGGTAGAAAATCTAAAGCAATCACATTTGGACAACGGCTGTCATTTATAATAGTTGCAGTGTGCATTTTTAAAAATAAACCTATATAATTGAATGAGAATTCAATAAATCATTAATGGATAGATTTTTTTTTGATCATTTTGTAAAATTTCTTTCGTTTTCTTTGGACTCCTGCTGAAACAGTTTCTTCTGGTTACATGGAAAGTAGAGTGATTGAATTGTATATCTCCATATTCTAAAATAATATCTAAATATCTATTTAAAGTTTCAAATGTTTGACATGTTAGAAAGATAACAGAATGGCAGATCATAGAAAACACAGGTTGCAACCAAAAGAACAGCTCAATTTCCTGTGAAATCTATGGTTAGCTTATAGGATATGTCCCAAATCCACACCCAGTCTGGAAGAAGTTTTACAGACCTTTCATCCCACCAGACTACTTGGGGGCAAAGGAACTTCTAATTCATTCATCTTCTAATTCAGAAGCCCATCTCTTGTTGGAAGAGTGACTTTAGTTATAGAATACTTAAAAGATGCCAGCCAGCAGGCCACTCACTTAAGAATGATCAGTTATCTTGCAAGCCCACAGATCCATGCAACATTTTACACATTTTTCTACAAAACAGAAAGCCTTTTCTAATGTGTCTGAAACTTAACAGGTCTAATGTCTTAAAAGAGTAACAGGATGCCAGTGTAAACTATAGAAAGTGGTATGCTGGTGGGCGAATATCCCACTAAAGTCAATGACACACTAAAACAAATGGAGATTCAAAAAAATGAATGAATTTGGGTTGTTCCAGATAAAGGGCTCTTGGTACTTAAGACACTGCACAGCTGGAGGGGGGGGGGATGAATTGTTGAGGAAACAATGGGAGATTTCCAGATGGAACACACATATAATTACACTGAATGAAAACTGAAAAGTAATGTCACAAATGGAGTAATTAAAGAATCTGGCACACTTTTGGTAGGTATTAATGGACTAGAAGAGTTGAAACCAACCATGGGAGATATTACACATGGTTTTACTGATGTACTCTTTATGTGTATACCTAAGCAAGTGAAAAATCACAGATTTTGGACTACTTGCATCTTCTGTTAATGTAGGATGTAGCTCATAGCACTATGTCCCAAAGTGGGTCCTTCCAGATGTTTTCAACTGCAGTTCTTGAAATTGGTCAGCTAACATGGCCGAAGATCAGGGAGTATGGGACAAGTAACCTATAACTTCTGGAAAAGGCATCCAGATTGGGGAAGGTGTCAAAGAAGGTAGATGCATTCTGACAAGCCTAGAAGTAACAGTAAACAAACAATATGGGGACGAACTATGCAAAATAAATTCAGCTGTTTTTATTAATGTAAAAGAATATAATTTTGTGTATCAGAAAGAAACAGTAAATGTGCAATCCTAAGCATACTTGCAGAGGACCTCATTTGTTGTAAATGTACTTCTGCCAAGAAGTAAGGGTAGCTGTTTTCCCTATTACTATCCAGAGGATACTCACAATGGAAGGAATATTCCTCAATAATTACCAAGTGGCATGTAGACATTTTCACCCATTTGCTACTGATAGTCCTCTAAGGAAGAATCTCGAAAATATCTTAGTTATGCTGCAGATGATTAATTATAGGGCACTGTCAACATGAACGATGTGCAACAAAAAAGGCTTTAAAATTGTAGAAAACAATGAAATGGCAAAGAGACACTAAACAAAAGCTACTGAAAGAATATTTGGCAGCATTAAAAGGTCAGAGTCTGATTTGTAGAAGACATGAAGACCACAGATACTTTCTGATTATCAGGAACTGCTGGATGTAAATTCTGCTAACAATAGGTCTGTGATATTTGATTTAAGGGGGGGAAAATCACATGTCAGGCAAACATCATTATGGCTTTACAGGAGGCTCTAGATTGGGAGAGACTTGTTCCCAATCTAGAGTATATTTCCATATTGACTGTCAACCTGATTGGAGATTCTGGGAGTTATCCAACACCGTTGGAGAGACTAATTTTTATTGTTTGTTGACATAATTAAGGCGTTTCTAACCTTCCCTATTTTGTAGATCTCAAAGCATGTTCTAGTCAATAAAACCAATCAAACAATAGAAAGCGGTGAGGGAAAGCTCACCACTGAACCAGTTTTTACTCTTTTATTTCATCCCACATGAATAAAAAAACATGTTGAAAAATGTACAACAGTAATTCATCTCACAACAGTGTTGGTAAAGGCACACTACATGTAAATACAGGTAGGCTGCAATTACTGCAAGTGTGACTAATGCAATATTTAATTTAGTGTGAATTGTAAATTTATACCAGGTCACATTTAATGCAACCCAAAATTCAGTTAATGTGAGGCTGGTGCATGTGCAATTGAGGCTAGCACATGTGCCGTTGCGGTTGGGGTTTTAGACACTGCTAATCTTTGTGTGTGCAAAATGGAGAAAAGGAAGATTCCATCAGAGGAAAACAGTGCAAGTTTAAAAAAGAAGAGACTCGTTATTACATTAGCACAAAAAATTGATGTAATTGAACAACATGAGTGATTTGTTTCTTTTTGCTAATGCTTGCTGCTTTTACATCTCATCTCTTTGCCTGTTGTTGCTTCCAGTATTTCATTATCTTCATTGGGAGCCATAAGGCTTCAGATTTCCATATCTTGCTATGGCGTTAACTCTAAAGCCAAGTAGGCAACCTGACTTTTTCAAGTAAATCTGGACTATTTGTTGAATTGGATTCTGACCCAAATTCATAAAATGTATGTGCAAATGTATGCATGCACACACCATCCATACAATACATATAGACTTACGTGCATACATATGCATCGAAGTAACTAAGACTACCTACATGTTTAAATCAGGGTCATTGTCTTTTCACAGATGAAGAATGCAATAGAACATATTGTAAAATTATACATGGATCAGTGCATTTCCACACAGTTAATTTAGCATGAAGCAGGTTGTTCACAATTGTGGCAGTCTACAACGTATGCTTCACTGGAAATAAGTGACTATTAGCATATTCAAAGATATACCTACTGTATCTTATTCTCATAACTTTAGTAAGAAATGCTGTGCCAAATCTTGTCTCAACTGTTGAGAAAAGCTGAGAGTTGGAGAAAAGAGGGTGCATGGGATTTGGAAATATATAATGGAGAAAAGACAGGAGCACAGGATCTTTCATCCTCCCTTTGTACCCTTTTCCTTCCCAGTGTTTTTTTTCTTGCAACTCCGACTTGCTTTTTTTTACACCTCCCACTGATCATGTAAATGATAAGAAAGGGAGTGTGTTAAACTGACTTCCTAGAACTGTGTTGCTTTATAATTCAGTGGGTGCTTCCCCGTGAGAAAACTCCTCTTACTTTTAAAAGATGATATAGATCTAGAGTCCTTTTCTGAAGATGTGCTTTTCAGAAGAAGGAATGTTTTTGTTCACATGCATGCATTCAGAACTCCAGGAGTCCTAACTGGAGCTATGGCCATGAGTATTTTCAACTATTGGCTGGGTCCTTACATGCTTCTGTTGACCGGGTTATGCCCATCGTCTATAAAAGTATTCCAGGCCAGATTTCCAAAATGGTATTGCTTAAATTCAGTCTGCTGTTCTGGAAGTGTAAGGCATGCTCTCCTATGCAACCTGCCTTTGCCCCCAAAGCGGTTATGCCCATATTCCGCCCCCCCCCACTTGCAAAAAATATTGAACCATGATTATGAGCTGGAGAATGTTACAATCTTTAGACCCCTAGTCCTTGCCCTCTCACCCCCAGCTCAAGTCTCACAAGCCTACTTTTGAGACCATCCTGACATCATCTCTTTTTCCAAAAGGAAACCCAGCATTGGAATTTGGCAGGTTCTGCATCTAGATGGCACCAGAGATTTTTATGTATGCCTGTGCTGCCCTCTCATGGTCAGCCTAATTTTTGCAACCCCCAAACATATATGGTGTGCATAGTGCGTGCGTACCATAATTCCAAACTTGGAGGGTGAAAACGAATCTATCATTTGGTGCTCTGGATGCTGTTCCGAAAGTTATAGGATCATTCTCTTAATGTTACAAGCTAAAGTATTATTTTACTTTAAATGTTAGCTGACATCGTGAGGCTCAAGGCCATCTTTCACGGTGGATAAGTTATCCATATTATATAAGCCTTCTACCCCCTAAATATAAAACTGGAACTATAAATACCCTTACGTTAGTTATGAAATGGAACCACATTCTTCTGCATTTGTTAAAAAATTATTTAAAAACTATTACAGCAGCCATCATTAGGTCATCTGTATCTAATTCTTGCTTCTGAACATGTGTTTAATCATCTGTGTGTGTGTGTGTGTGTGTGTGTGTGCCTGTGCACCAGCAAACTCTTTATTCGTTGTAAAACATTGTAAAACAATGAAGAATGTTTTTCAGCCAGAGATAGACAAATAGTAGATATATTCCACTGGCAGAATCATTCGTTGTGATGGAACTACCTGCCACACAAACTAATGGTAGTTTGAGTTAATGAGTACAAATCTATACTTAATTCTTGAGCCTCAGGTGTGCTTCTGACAGTGGTACAAGCTGACTACAGTTCTGTCTGTTTCCATGGCTTTGTAAGAAACTCTCCTCCAGGTGGGTTTCTAAGCGTAGTTTGCAGAGAGGGAAAATAGTTCAATGTTAGCATTCCTTTTCTTAAAAATATGTAATTATTGGATATTGTTCCTATGTGATGTGTAAATTTATTTGGAAGTAACTTATTCTTACTTTTTATTTTAGAGCTTGCTTTGATTTAGATTCTCATGGTAGAAATGTATATGTTAACATACATCAGAACTAAATATTCAAAGAATACATTTTAATAGGGAATAGTTCAGCTCATATGTAGTATTTGCTTATATCCAGTGGATTACAAGACAGTATAATGAATATAAAGCAAGAGATTACTGCAGTATTCTTACATTTTATAAGGCTTACTGAATCAACTGCTTAACCAAGGGTAGGATTTTTTTTTTACCACAATCAGCTGATGATTAGTTCTACAGTGGAATGTATGCTTCTAACGCAGAGGG